CACGGTGGGACACTTAGGCAATTAGGGTTTTGAATGGGTCAAAGGAGAGGACTATTGACTCGGCGGTCAAATAGTTAGACCTAATCCTTTAGAGGGAGAATTAACGGTAAATAATGTAAATGAAAAATTATTACAACAGCGATAATTAAAATACGGGGAAGTAAGGAAAGCATTAAAAAGTGCACCGCGATGATCACTCGCGTAAATTACAAACCCAAAATGAAACAGAATTGAAAATAATAGCGAAGATGTCTCGCATAAGTTACAACCATAGAAAACGAAAATACGGCCAAATGTGAAATTATTAACCAAGTACCAACAAGGGATATGAAGGGGTTAGCAAATTCAGCTTGAATTAATTTCAAGCAAAAGTTTTATAATTGAAAATGATCTACGGTGTTAATTTATTTACAAAATTGGGATTATATCACCAAAGATAAAGCCATATTGGTTTCAATTTTAAATTATTGTCTTAATAAAAAAAACTTTAATTTTACTTAATGTGTTAATTAAAAAAATGATTTTTGTGATTTTTTGACTAAATTAAGTTTTAGTTTTATTTTATTTTAATAAAGTTAATAATATTTTTCCTAAAAAGGTTTTTGATTTAATAACTTAATTAACCATTATTACATAAAAAAAATATATAAAATATAAATAGAAGAATAGAATATAAAAAGAGAAAGAACAAGTCTTGTGTGTGACTAAGGTTTTTTGACCCCAATCTCTTCTCCTTTCCGCCTGCGGCGGCGTACCATCCATCTTCCTCTCTTCCGAAAATCTCATCCTTCTCTCCGTATTTCCGCCGTCTACTTCTTCATTTGTCTTCTTTTTCTTCTGCATGCTCTGTCCTTCCTCTTTTCGCGCCACTTGTAAGAAAGAAGAAGTAAAAAGAATACACATGCAACCGAAATTGCTCACCCTCAATGGGTTGGGAGTGATTTCGCTAGGGTTTATGTTGTTCTTGCTTCGTCACGGCCGATGATAAGTCCACTCTGAGGCTTCGTAGATTTGGTTCGACTTGCTGGCGTCCGAAACAGTTTATGCAGCGTTTATGGTCAGTGATGACTTCTTCTGAGGCCGGTGTTTTGCTCGTTGGTTGCTTAATGATGTTGCTTAATGATGTTGTTTTACAAGTCACTTCTCTCTCTCTCTCTCTCTCTCTCTCTCTCTCTCTCTCTCTCTCTCTCTCTCTCTCTCTCTCTCTCTCTCTCTCTCTCTCTCTCTCTCTCTCTCTCTCTCTCTCTCCTGGCTATAAATGAACAGATTAATGTGGATCTCGTGCCGAGGTTGAGAATAAGTCGGGAGCTGGCTTCGACTTCGTCGTTGCCCTCCCGACACGCCCGATGATGAGAATTTTCTAAGGGTGTCAGAGTCCGAAAAAACCGACTTTTAACTAACCGTTAAAATTGCTGCTCTGTTTGTTAGTTTTCTTGCAGGTTCGGAAAAAATAAAATCGGAGACTCGAAGAAATCAGAAGCGGATAACATTTTAGGACCATTTTAGGAATTTTAGGAAAATGTAATATTATTCGTAAATTTATTCTTTTCGGATATTATAATAAAACAAACCTTGAAATGAATAAAAAATCCAATTATTTCCTCAATTGCCTTTTACAATTTCTGATTTCAATTCTCGATTAAAATCTTCGAATAAATTCTTTCGATTAAACTCAAATGAATAAACTCAACCGACTAAATTTATTAGATTAGAACCCAACAGATAAACCCTCCGATCGACTGAGACCTCTGTCAAGGAGAAGATCCTCGTGATTCCTTTTGCTTACTGTTGAATAAAGGCTCTGGTCGAGGGCATCGTCCTTGTGCCTTTCCTTTCCCTTTGAGTTGATTTGCAGTGGAATTGTGTATTTGGTTTGATCGTCGAATTCACTGTTATCCTCTGCATTTCAGGTCTCTATGGCTCACAACGCTGAAGGTATTCACCTGGTCGACACCATCACTGATTCTAACTTGGCTTTGGTCGGGTCGGAGCCCCGAGGGATAGCCTCGTGTTTCACTAATTTCCCAGAGAACGCATTCATAATCATTTAGGAAGGCACATGGTTTTTGGGGGCTCCGGAGAACTGGGAAGTTTACAAGACTGATCGGGAGGAACGAATCTGCTCGCCTTTCTCAGGGAACTGTTTTTCCATGTATGAGTACACCTTCAAAGAGTTGGGTTTCAGATTCCGTTTAGTGGCCTTCAATGGGGGAATTTTTTATCGACTGGAGCTAGCACCCTCTCAACTGCATCCGAACTCGATTGTGTTTATTCGGGCCTTCGAGATCGTGTGCCAGTATCTCGAGATCGGCGCCACCATTCATCAACTATTTCGATGTTTCCACCTTCAATGACAAACTCCGTAGGGGAAGCACGGTTGGGTGTCCCTCAAGCAGCCAAATAAGTTGTTCAAGACATTCACGGACTCTGTTTGTACCTTTAAAGGTAGGTATTATATGGTCAAACTCGTGTCTCGAGCAGTCATCGACTGTGTGTTCGAGCGTGTGGTTGTAACTAAGGAAGACGAAAGTGTGCGTCTCGACGAAGATGGGGATGCGGTAACGAGGATGGTCTCGATGTTCACCCTTCAATGGAGTAATGCCCACTTTGAGGAGAGCGTTGATTACTACATCACTAAGCCTAACGAGTTAGACCCCGAGGACCAGCATGGCTTCGAAAAATTTATGAAGTTCGCCAACGGCTTCGCTCCCGCTCAGTGACAGACTTAGAATGGGGAGGTTGTCCTCAACGAGCAGGGCCAACCCATATATGAGGCTCGGTGCATAACACTAAGGAGCTCCTCAAATGTAATACCGCCGAGGAAGCTAGATTGCTTTTAGGTAGTTGTTTTTTCTTTAATTTATTTGTGTGCTTTATTCTTTCTTGCTATATTGACATGTGTTCGCCATTTATCGCAGATAAAATGGAAAACCTTCAGGATTGCATGCTCAAGAAGGCGATGGCCAAAGGGAATACTCCAAAGGCCGGAAAGAGGGGTTCCAAGAATAGGATTGTTCAAATCCTAAACCAATCCAAGGTTGACTTCGGCCTCGGTTTTTCTCCTTCCCCGGGAGTCAACCAGTCTTCTCCTTAACAGGACACCTCGACCAAGAAAAGGCGGTGCGAGGATGATGTTATGGAGATAGATCTAACGAGGGAGTTCGTTGAGGACAAGTTCGCGCTGCCCCTTGCTATTCCAACAAAGGGTTCTTTGAGGGGGTGTTTCTCTCATGTCATGCCTCAGGCGGATTCTTCAGCCATCATGGGACTCGACGCGGTGGGCTGAAGAATAGAATTAGCTCAGGATGTGGCTGCTCTGATGAGGGTCTTGGAGGTGGTCGTAGTCCTCAACGACAAGGAGACATGTTCTACTGTCGAGCTAGAGAAGCAGCGGGAAGCGAATGTGAAGCTCGAAACGGAGGCGATTAGGCTGGAGACTACCTTTGATTACTACAAGGAGAAATACAAGATTTAGGGTGAGATTCTGACCGAGTTGCACAACACAACCTTTATATTTCTCGGAGTTTGTTTCAATTCCTCATTTTGTTAGATAGAAGCTAGGGAACTTACCTGCTTGAACGTCGAAGATGCATTTCTCCATATTGAACCTCATATTGCATCGCCTCGCCTGGTCGAAGACTTTTTTCAGGTGGAGCTTGTGGTCGAATTCCTCTCGGGATTTCACGATCATGTCGTTCATGTAGACTTCGAGCATGTCTCTAATCTCACATCGGAAGACTTTATTCATCATCTGCTGGTAGGTAGCGCCGGCGTTCTAAAAGTCGAAAAACATTACGTTCTTCAAGTAAAAAATCATTCTATAAAAATTCAAAAATATTTATTAGATTTTAGAAATGCATCTCGAAGCAGACTCTAAATCTTATCAAATAAAATTCATTCCAGTTTCTTTTATATTCAATTACTCAAAATATATACATAAATGTGTCACACCTTTATATTATTAAAAAAAAATAAGTCAAAAATATATTTTCAAAGTAAATCCGAAATTATATTGTGAAAAAAGGGCTAACTGTACATAACATAAAAAATGTTGAGGCTTTTTTTTAATATTGCACGCGACATTATAGGATGTTGATAAACAGCTTCTGCTCATTGCCTTCGACATATTAACAATATGCCTCGCATCTTCAATGTCATAATTGCCATACACTTCGTTTCAGAGAAGAGAATTTTCCATACATACTCGAAAATATTTCTATTTTAACCAAAGGGTTCAAATGATTAGACAGACAAGATTTGCCAATGGGAATGACATTCTAAATAAGAATGGAGCCCACAATATCTATCTCAGTCTTCTCAATAATGGTAGCTACTCCCTCCATTTAAAATAGTATTAGATGCATTTTAGTCAAAATTACTCCTATATAATTATTATAGAGAGAAAAACTAAAATGAATGTAATACATAATTATGAATATTATAAGTTTAAAAAAATTGTATGAAAACTAAAAAATATTGATTAGTTTTTTTTAATATGCAAAAAGAATATGAAAAGGACACTTAAAAATGAATGAGAGTAGTTAACAAGGAGATTTATACCAGTGAGACATGAAATCGGTATTCATGAAATGTACGTTTTATTCAGGTATCTAACCTCAAAAACGTAGAACTCATTTAAACATATACTTAAGGCAATTATTGGAGAATAGAGATAAAAACTCATTTAAACATATACTTAGCATATACTTAGGCCTAAAATTTCTTTCACGTTTGGTAATACTGATAGTGGAGAATAGAGATAAAAACAAGAGACAGCACCTTTTGTCAAAGAAATTGGTTAGTAAGAGAAGTAATAATACATGACAGTATATTTTTCAATTTCAATCCTAATTGAATTGCATTATTGATACACTCAATCAATAAACTCTTTCAAAACATAATACTCAAGATACAAAAAGAAAAAGGAACCGTTGTAAGTGAACTTTGATTCATCAGAGCCACAGAAAAAATGTTCATACAGTTTGTTTCAGAACAATAGATTAGAAGCAGCCGCCCAACTGCAAAAAGTCCAGAAGTTTCAATTAGTAATAGGTATTAATTAAGAAGAGACATTAAACACAACCAAAATCAATTTTCATGATGCAATATGAATTGATTTCCCATCTCAGTTACTACAAAAGATACTAGTGATCAATTAATTGAGTAAAAAAGACGGTAAATACAAGAGTGGTAGATTTTCCCTACTTATAAACTCATTTTTAAGTCTCATCTTATAGAGTAATAGGTTTTGATGGTATTTTAGAATTTGGGTTGGGCCGTATTCAATCCTTACAAAACCGGTTTGTAGGTTTGTAGAGTGATAAACGTCTCTTAGAAACTCATTTTCAGGCCCTATCTCATCAAATGTTAACGAGACTAAAGACCTAGAACTGACAAGGAGATTATACATACCAAAACTGCCTCAATCTCCTCATTGGTGACCGGGGTTCTTTTGGGCTGAAGAGAGGCCTTTCCTCCTAATGTTGTCGAAGCATTTGAACTTGAAAAGAATGATAAACTTCCATCGCCTGTCGAAGACAAAGCTTGACCCTCAGAGGCAGAACCTGCAATGAAATTTTAAGAATTGCAAATCAACTTACAGTCAACACATAAATAATACAATACAACAATACTGTCATTCATCTCAAAGATCCAACTGTCTCAATCATCACAGATAAGATAACAATAACATTTACCAAACTTCATCTCATAGGAAGAATAATGAATTGACTATGGATCAATCAATGTTATATTACAAGGATCGATGAAAGCCCAAAATTTCATTAAAATCTGTTAAATGGCTACCAAAAGCAGACTCAAAGGTTGAGTGTGCTCAAACAACAGTCTGAGAATTTTCAATTTCGATAATGCAGAATTCCCATGTAACTTCAATACCCACCCTCACGTTTAGCGCGGATCCGGAGTCTAATTTCCACATTTCCACCCTTAATACAACTCTAATATCATGTTAAATGAGTTTGAATCAATCTCAAAAGCTAACTCAAAGATGAGAGTGCCCAGAAACATTTATACATCTAACCATTTGGATAACATTGAAAATGTAGAACTCGCATACAACTAATTAATTCATTTGCAGTGTCGTCAAATAGTGACAATAAATGCACAATAGCGTAGCAGAATTCAAACAAACCAGTTCCGTTCTAACCACAATAAACTATTTAGTAGGCCAAACAGCATTTCAGTACTCTGGCGTAACAGAATTTTAACAAAACCACAATTTTCCCAGATTCATTATAAACAACACGATTAATAAGATATATTTTTTTGTCCATAGACAAAGAGGTATTAACCACTAAAAACTTACACACACAACCGTGAGTACCCGGATTTAAACCCTGATGCCAGTTGATATAGGATTTGCGGTACAATTAATTAGATACTTAACCAATCACAATATAATCAAAATAAAGGCCTAGAACCTTGTTGTTTTGATATCAACTGGGTAGGGTATTCATATAGCTAGGATTGCGAAAACATTGATGAAATCAAAGGGAATTTCTGAACAAAATAAACACTAGAAAGCCTGTTGAGAACTGAATCAGCATATAACAACAAAGCATCGCAATATATAAACAACAACCCAGGGCTATATTACACTGCAATAATTGATTCTGAAGAAAAACTAGAGACATAGAATACGGAAAATAGGCGTAAATAAAAGGAAGATTGATGAGAGAGATAGCAACGAACCAGAGGATTTTAGGTGTCTGTTGGGGAACTTGATGCGAGGAATTCTCTTCAAAGCATGAGCACCACCACCCATAGTTGAAACAAAACGAAACAAAACAAAATAACCTTCGATCTCAGAAATCAACACAACACTTCTCCGAAATGTCTTAACCTCTGTTTAGTATTCACACGCCACCCTCCTAATAAAGGGTATCCACCGTCCACTGAATTAGAAGAAGAAGAAAAGAAGAGAGTAAAAAAATGCAAACAAAAAATAAATAAATTGAGTTTTTTTAATACAAACATAACAAAATACGGCCGAAATCACCACTACCCCAGAACAGATCCAGAAATACAGCCGAAAATCGAAAGAGAAGATGAGTAATAGGAGAAACATAAACCTGATTGAAGGAATCTAAGTCGAGCAAACAGAGCGAGATTGTAAGGAGGTTGAGATGCTCGCTTTCCAGATTGCTATACCTTTCTTGTATTTCAATTTTGTTTTGATATCTTGTAGTCGCGTTTCACCTTTCCTGTTTAGTTTAATTTGATGATGGTGGTGAACCGTGCTTTGTCGTCTCGGTTAGCCGTGTTTTTTCCCTTGTTTATATCCACCATGTTATATAATTTAATTATCAAATAAAACAAGCTTTAAAAAAATTGCCAAAATTTCAAACTTTGAAATCCTAAATATTAATCACATTTGCCAATTCATGTGGCGACAACACATTGGCCAATTTCTAAATGGCCTAATTCGTCATTCTATTTGGCAAACAACATATTAACTCATTTGCTAAACCATTTGTCATTTTAGTAATTTTTTTAAAAGCTTATTTTATTTGATAATTAAATTATATAACATTGTTACTTTAAAAAAAATTCCCACCATCATGCTGCTTTCTTTACTATAACCGTGTCTCATAAATGCTCTTTAGAGTTTGGACCATGTTTTTTTGGGTAAATGCCGACAGGCTTTTAGGCCCACCTGATGCTCATTTCATAATTTCTCCACCCTTCCGTTTTTGACCGTGTGGTTTTTGGAGGGAAGTTTTACCCCATACCCATACACTTATACCTATACCCCTACATTAAAAATTTTTGGACCAAAATATCCTCGTATAAAAATTTATTATTTTTTAATTTTTTTTTATATTTTTTTATTTGTTTACCGGAAGACTTTTTGGAAGTCTTCCGGTTCACATTTTTTTAATATGTTTACCGGAAGACTTTTTGGAAGTCTTCCTGTACATATTTTTTTCGTTTGTTTACCGGAAGACTTTTTGGAAGTCTTCCGGTTCATGTTTTTTTTTTAATTCTTAATTAATATTTAAGATTTATTGATTTTATATAAAGACCAATTTAGTAAATTTTTGAATATTATACTTAAAATATAAAAATTCTATAAATAGATAATCATTTTCAGAATATTTTCTATTTACTATAATTATTAGAATACTAGGATTAAAATCATTTATTTTAAATGATCATAATAGTAGAATTTTCTCAAATATCTTATTAATCTTAAACATTAATAAATAAAATAAATTTAAATATAAGATATAAGTTTATATTATTCAATATATTTAATCAAATGAAAACATATGTGATAAATAAATAATGTATTTTAACTTAAAATGATCACAATAAGTTAACTTGCAAAATAATATAAGTAATAAATTAATAATGTATTTTATTTAAAATAATCACAATAATAAAATACGCAAATAATGTGTTTTATTTATATGACTGATATAGTTTTATTGATTATTTAATTTTGAATACTACTATGAATATAGTATTTAATCTATACTTTAGAACTCACATAATTATAAATATAAACAATATTGTTTCATTACCCATATTTTTATTTAATTAAAAAAATAAGAATATAAATTTATTATTTGTTTTTCATTTTTGTTTGATCTTTAATAATTAAAAAGATCAAACAAAAATGAAAAACAAATAATAAATTTATATTCTTATTTTTTTAATTAAATAAAAATATGGGTAATGAAACAATATTGTTTATATTTATAATTATGTGAGTTCTAAAGTATAGATTAAATACTATATTCATAGTAGTATTCAAAATTAAATAATCAATAAAACTATATCAGTCATATAAATAAAACACATTATTTGCGTATTTTATTATTGTGATTATTTTAAATAAAATACATTATTAATTTATTACTTATATTATTTTGCAAGTTAACTTATTGTGATCATTTTAAGTTAAAATACATTATTTATTTATCACATATGTTTTCATTTGATTAAATATATTGAATAATGTAAACTTATATCCTATATTTAAATTTATTTTATTTATTAATGTTTAAGATTAATAAGATATTTGAGAAAATTTTACTATTATGATCATTTAAAATAAATGACTTTAATCTCATTGTATTCTAATAATTATAGCAAATAGAAAATATTCTGAAAATAATTCTCTATTTATAGAATTTTTATATTTTAAGTATAATATTTAAAATTTTACTAAATTGGTCTTTATATAAAGTTAATAAATCTTAAATATTAATTACAAATTAAAAAAAAAATATGAACCGGAAGACTTCCAAAAAGTCTTCCGGTAAACAAACAAAAAAATATGAACCGGAAGACTTCCAAAAAGTCTTCCGGTAAACATACGGAAAAAAATGTGAACCGGAAGACTTCCAAAAAGTCTTCCGGTAAACAAATAAAAAATATAAAAAAATTAAAAAATAATAAATTTTTATAAAAGGATATTTTGGTCTAAAAATTTTTAATATAGGGGTATAGGTACAAGTGTAGGGGTATGAGGTAAAACTTCCTTTTTGGAGTGGGTGATGGGCTTATGATCCCACCTATTTTAATCCCTTTTGATTATTTCAGTACACCCCTTGTTTATGTTTTTTGTTTTTAATTGTTTTTTTTTTTTGGAATTATTTGTTTTTTCTCTAAATTTTGCATTATTATTTTATTTGAATATCTTTGTTTATATAACATTTGATTTATTGATTTTAACTTTGGTCAACGAAAATCTAAGAATTGTGGATTGTCAATTTATCGATAAAAATTCATGGTTAAGATTAGATCGTTTTCTTTTCAATTTTATTTATCTTTTCTTCCCGATTCTTATTATTGATTTTCAATTTCAATTCTCGATTGATGAAGTCTTTCTATTCATAAACGTTAATTTATTGAGGTTGTTAACCTTTATTATTTCAAATCTGTAGTGAATGATCATTGAGATCATTTTCTATACTTTGGGATCGTGATAGGTTACCCTCGACTAATTAACATAAGTTTGTGATTAAGATGAGATAATCCACCTTTTCTATTCGTGTGGCACAATTACTTTGGAAAATGATCCTCAATATCATTTCTCCATCGTATTTTTAGCACGAATATCAACTTGAGCGACCTCCTATAGTTTGATCTTAGTTATAGATCGAGCTACGACGGTTTAGCACGATATTTTGACCTGATTCATTTAATATCGACTAATAACTAACTTTAATTTTCATTAATATATTCTTGTTTTTCATTTCAGTTAATATATATTGATTATATTATCATTGTTCATTTAAATATTAACTTCATTATACTATTGTGGATATTATCTTGATTATATTGTTATATATCTTGCCATATTATTCACATTGTTCCTATCATATTCATATTCATCATATCTTGTTAATAATCTTCGAAAACACAATAATAACGATTGAAACCTAAAAGCCTAAATTGGTGGATTGTGGTTACTTTTCCAAGCAACGGGTTAATGGACTTTATCAGAAACCCTAGCTTGGAGCTTTTGTCCGACTCTTGCTCGAGGCTTAGTTTAGGACACTTCGCACACACATAGCTTCCTATTGGGCTACCTTACAATGAACCCTTTTATTTCAAATCCCGTGTAATTTACATGTATCCTGCTCCCATTTTGATGTACGTATTCGTATTTGCTTTGATTGTGGTTTGTCTTCTAGGATCACCCCTAGGGACTATCATAGACTAAACTGTTTTCAAACTAATTCTCGATTCATCATTGAGCCCTTTTTAAACACCCCGTAAGTCGATTTCTCGTATGCATTCGCCATCAACCTATCACACACACTCGTATATTTCATCGTGGTTTCCATATTAAGAAGCACCCCTATGAACTAGTGTCGATTCTCACAACCAAACCCTCGATTCGTCGTCGAGCCGTTTCTATTTTCACATCAACCCCTTTCCAACACCTTTGCACGCCTATACAATCAAACCCTTGATCCAACGTTAAGCGTTATTTTGTTCAAATTTGTAAGTCGAGTGCCTTTTGCCTTGCAGTCTACCTCTTTTTGCAGCATATCTGTTTCTATCTTTTTCAAATGCTTTCTTAAACAAATAACAAAAGAAGAAGATTCTTGAAGTCTAGCATTCCTTGGATCTTCGAATGAATGGCTCTTGAGGCGCATGCTTTGGGTTGTCATTCATTTAACCTTTTATCCTACAACACTTAATTTTTATTTAAACATTTTCGTAATCAAATTTGTGAAAGAAGGATACTCTTGGAGTCTAGCATTCCTTGAATCTTCGAATGAATAGCTCTCGAGGCACGCCCCTTGGGTTGTTGTTCATTCAATCTTTCGGACTCGATAACATTCAACCATTTTCCAACCATTCGCCATTCAAACACCCTTTAAACACAAACTCTTTTTCAAGATGAAAAAGAGAGAGAGTCACGCCTTTGACTCACTCTTTCGATTACTTGGGCTTGAGGATCCTTTCTTAAGCTTCGAGCAATCGTCATCTGAACCAAACTTCAACCATTTCAACCCCTATTTTCGTGGTCGTCTCCATGAATTACGGACGCTCTGATTCTTTATTCTTGTCTGAATGTAAGATACGTAGGCACAAGATTGCAATGATCTTAGCAAGAACAATTTCATCTTTCTCTGTCATTTTGTCTTCCTTCCCTTCATCTTCTGTTCCCCCTATCCTTTCCCATAGTCAAACTACGAGAGGTCTGATTTCTCATTCTCGTCTGAATGAGCATACGTAGGCACAAGGGTCTCAATCCTTGGCGAGCACCCTACTCTTTAAGCCACCCATTTGCCCTTTATT